TCTATCTTTTTATTGAAGAGGCCACAGTGACATGACTAGTTTAGATGCTCGATTTCAATTGTTCCATCCTATTGGTCATTCTGAGTGCTCTTTCATTATTTCATACGGCACATGCTGGGCTCTATTGCATGGACTGAAACTGAGCGCAAGAGGGGGAAAAAACGTGGTCTTCGACTACCCCCCCAAAGATGATGAAGTACATAAGCAGCAGTGGGGACTGCATAGAGTATGTGGACCGGGGGCCAGCGGATCTTTCCCACATGCTACCCCGTGGTTCGGCTCTGAAGAGGTGTCAGCGAGCTCTAGAGGAATGAAGTGCCTGGACATTGTGCTGTTGAACTATTATGTGCTTAACATTACCATGACAAAAGTGTCACTCGACTTCCCCTCCATTCAGCGGGCTGAAGGGCCCTTGTCCCCACTCTAATAAAACATTTTGCAACCATCACCCCCATTTGAAGACACTGGTGACAAGAGTGGGAGAATAAGAGTAGAGGGTTTTAACAGCGTGGAGCTGAGAGACAGAGAGAGGCCAAGCTGAACATGATTAAATTACATGGAGGCACCAATATATGCATATGCAGCCTGGTCTCATGTTTATACGTAGGTATTAATACGTAACATTTACAAGCACAAAACGTATATTTTTGTACGTTTTTATTAATGCTAAAACGTACAATTTAGACGTATTTCAACGCTTAAAACGTACAAATCGCTACATTCTATTATCCTGCCGTAAAACCTGTCTTTTGAAGCGGCAACATTTGAATTTGTAAAGAGCGCGTCAGTCAGCGCGGGCTTTGCTGCTCACGGTCACTGGACTCGCTGCTCGGGATGGAGAAGAAGATCGCCGAAAAAAGGCTTGGATTTGGGTCTGTTCCTCGCAGTCGTATGGATTCGGAAGATAAGGATTACAGCGCACAAATAAAATTGTTTCATTTCGTAATTATGTCGCGTTTTTGGTGTATTTTATAGTTCTATTGTTAGTCACAGCATGTCGAAATTTTATCATTTCATAAGTAAACGAGTAAACAATTTAATAATGCAATTGAAAACAAGGTAATTCATATGACAACTAAAAACTAATAAAATTAATGCCGCGATTTCAATATTCATAAGGGTTCATTTTTAGGTGTCGTCAATACGTCAGTTTTGTATGTTTAAATGCTGAAAATACGTAAGTATTTGTACGTTTAAATGCTGAAAATACGCAAGTATTTGTACGTATAGATGCTGAAAATACGTCAGAATTGTACGTTTTAGTGCCTGTAAAAACGTAAGTAAATGTATGTTTTATAGAACCGTTACGTAAAATACATACGAATTATCATGAGATCACGTTGGCATATGTGCACCCTCAAGCCCCAGATGAAAACTCGCAAACGTCATTTTTTTCTTCATGGAAAACATTTACCAACAATCAAGCAACCCATTACATCATACAGAGAACTTGGCACAAATTTGTTCAAGTATAAAATGGAAATGCATGCAACAGCAATTGATACATTCCAAGAAACAACTATATAGGACAAATTATCATTTAAAACGGCTGCAAATTTCTAATGGAAGTTTAGTGTAATGCACAAATGTTTTACTACAAATTAGAGTAGTTCTCTACAAGTCTTTCACCATTTACAAGACAAACTCGGGTGCTGGTATGATAGATGTGCTGTATAACTTATCCAAGATACATACTTTTAGTCTCTTTATTAAGATGGTTAAAGCAAGGGTCACCAGTCATATTGCAGAGATGAATTTGCTTTTTGGAAAAAGTAACATCAAGAATCCTGACACTGTAAAGTTCAAGTTTACCTCTATCCTACACAGTCCAAACCCTTTTGAAAGTGAATTTCTGCTGGCTTTCCAAAAGATCAATCCACTCAAATATAGAACTTGTTACAAGATAATCCATTTGCAGTTTGTGTTGTTCTACTACTGTTTCTCTGTTAGCTTAGAAGAACTAAAGTCCTGCTTTATACTTGCAGTAGTGGCGTGCAGACAAAGGCCTTTAAACAAACAGTGATTGAAAAATAAATAAACCTCTGTCTGTCTTGGCCCAGCTGCAACATGGACACCCCAGGGAAAAGCAACTCGCGCTTTTGTGTTCACATTCTAAAGATATCCAAATACCAGAGTTTACACTTGTGTTTGCTAAGTCGTGTGTCAGCGCATCAAGCTCCTTATGTGTGATAACTAATCTGTTCCTGAAAATCTAGGTTTAGCATCGGAATCCATGCATGGGGTCGATACAGTGAAACTTTGTAATGACACTATGAAATATGAACATAGTTTTACAAACATAAAAAAAAATTACACATACTCGGTTTAAGTCTTTGTACTTTTGTTTTTATGCCTTCTATAAAAAGAACATCACTGAGGCAGCCATACAGTGGATTTAGACATTTCTACACAGTAAATAGTTCATCTTAGATAACAATTAAAAGATTCTCTGAAAATCTGTACACTGTACAATATCTTTAAACAGAAATAATTACAACAAAAATGTAACTTCCCTTTAAAGCTGGAATCATCACCCTTTGTTGTGAAGGTTACTTTATGACAAAAATAAAGTTCTCTCTCTTGAATCTCTAGGACTTTTATAAGATGTATCAAATGTTACCAGCTAAAATAGAGATCTACTCCTTATTCATTCCAGCATTTCAAACACTTTTTACAGAAGGTACTTATCCAAAGTCATTTGCAACTTTATAAAAATACTTTACATATTTAAAAAAAAAATCAAATTTGACATTGGCAGTGCACAGTTTTATAATTACAACTTTCACTGTTAAAATGTCTAGATAACAAAATAAATGTATTTCCTTAAAGATATAGAAAAAGTTTGTCTTTTACAAAATAGCACTTGAAATAGGCAAGCTGGTGCTTCAGGCAGTTGACTTCAGTCAAACTTCAGCTAAAGTACTTTGTATCCCTGCTCTTAACTTCAGAATCAGAATTTTGGCTTGATAATTAAAACTTTCATTAGACAAGCCATTGTTCACCTGCGCTGAATCTGTAACTGTAAATTTGCATAGTGAATCAAAACACATTTACAATGTGACCATTTCTGGATAAGAACTGCACCTCAGTGTCACACAAAGCTTAACTTGTACTCTTTGGAACAAAATCATGTCAAGCTGTGTTTACACTTATGCCTTAAAGCTAACTAATTGTTATTTTTATGTTACTAGTACTTTTTTTTTTTTATTTGCTAGCAAGTAATCCAACAATGACATTTTCTTCAATTCAACGGATTTTTTAGGAATTAGTGTTTATTCATTACTTTGTACTAGGGCTGTGCGATATTGAAGAAAAATGCGATATGCGATAACTCATTAATGCGATATTCGATAACTCATTAAATAATGCGATATTCGATAACTCATTAAATAATGCGATATTCGATACGATAATGCTTAAAGTGCCACATGCTCAGATGAAACAGTTTTACTCAGCTGTTGCTGAGTCAGTTCTGTGAACTTCTATAACTATCTTGTGTCATATATATATACAGTGGTGTGAAAACTTTTTGCCCCCTTCCTGTTTTTTTAATTGTTTGCATATTTGTCACACTTAAAAGATTCAGATCATCAAACAAATTTTAATATTACACAAAGATAACCTGAGTAAATACAAACTGCAGTTTTGAAATTATGATTTCATTTATTAAGGGAAAAAAAGCTGTCCAAACCTGCCTGACACTACGTGAAAAAGTAATTGCCCCCTAACTCTAATAACTGGTTGTGCCACCCTTTGCAGCAACAACTGCAATCAAGCGTTTGCGATAAATGGCAATGAGTCTTTCACAGGAAAAAATACAACACTGCTTAGTATTTACTATATGAAATCAATATGCACTGATTCTTATTTAAGCTACAAAAGTTATTTAGGTAAAAGCAGTGAGTGGTTTTCTCTTTGTCTTTTGTTCATGGCCCCAAATATTGCAAGCCGTAGCGATATGCATATTGCGATATATACATTTGCGATATTTAGATAATTTCGATATATTGCACAGCCCTACTTTGTACTTCCTAATTATTTTGCTACTAGTCACTATCCCAAGTCATGTCAAGTAACTAATCTATTGTTACTGGTATGAAATTGTTGATTTTTGCATTGAAATTCTATGGGGAGCTGTGGTTCAGAAGCTATTCAAATACATGTTAGAATCTCTTCAGGTTTTTAGCCTACTGGTAACCTTTCAGTAGCCTATGTTTTTTTTATTTATTATTTATTTCATTTCAAAGTTTATTTAATTTTATGGCTACAAAAGTAGCTACTCTGACTTATTACAAGCAACTGTAACTAGTGATATAAGAAGGTTTACTAGAAAGAAACGGGATAGACACTAGTAACTAAAAAAAGAACATAATGAACACCTAATAAAAGTTGAAAATGATAGTCACTGCTGGATTGCTTGCTATACATAAAAATAAACACTAGATCGTTTTAAGGAATAAATGTTTAAACAGCATGCCATAAAACGAACTGGGAAGCAGGAGAAAAATTACAAAATGCACCATTCCCGAAAAGCCGTTGGAGCAGATCATTAACTCGACTTCAAATTGATCAAGGAAGCTGCACTTGAGCCAAAATGGATGCCACCACAGTCAAAACAGAACATGCCACAAAAGCAGAACCTGTGTTCCTCGTGGGCTCTGGGTAATCCTCATCATCGGGCTCATCGTCGTCGATCCCACTGGAGCCTTCTTCATCCACAAGGGGAGAGTCAAAGCAAAGCGTTTTCATAATAGTTTTGATAAACTCGCAGATAGTCCGCTCTGAACCATCACAGACGCAAGTATCCAGGAGTTGAGCTTTGGGAAGTTTGCGCATGTACGCGATAACATTGCGGCATGGGTTCGAGCAGCTGGAGCCGCTGAAGAGTTGCCCGCAGTGGAGTAAATAATCGCCCATGGCGCTTCGGCACTGGATGTCCCTCTCGCACTGGCGCCGGGCTTCGGTGCAGCCCATGCTGCTGGTTTTGGGTAAGCACGGTTCGATGGCTCGTTTAATCTCCCGGCAGCGGGGGTCCGAGGCGCAGCTGCAGTCCTCCAGCGCCGGGCCGCTCTTGGTCAGGTTGAGTTGCACCAGCGACGAGATGCAGTGACTGGGACACTTCTTCCTCTGGCCGCTCAGGATCGAGTCACAGGCGTGCAAATACTGGTCATAAGCGTAATGACACTCTGGCTCCGACTGGCAGTTCAATATCGCTTGCCAGCAGATCAACCGACTGCCGTGGTGGTTGGAGGAGGCGATGGAAAAACAACTTAAACACACAAGCACACAAGCGAAAGGCCAAATGGATGTGCGCGCGCCACGAACCAAACCTGCACGAGTTGCCATTTCGAAGTCTGTAATCGTTTGGCTGGCGTCAGGTCAGTTTTAAGCATGCATATTTCATATTTCCATTGCATCTAGTGAGGGAAAAATCCCTCAGCTCAGATCATGTTTGCAAGGTCCATTCAAAAGAAAGAGTTTGTTCCACAATTGCGGTGAATCTATAAAGACATTTTCCTGTAATCCATGTTCTTAAAAAGAAGCCCTGAATTACGAAAAGTGCTATTTCCAGCAAACGGGTGGTTCATTCCATCTTCCCGGTTCGTGTCCGTGTGACAGTGCGGTGATTCCTCCTTCCACCTCTTGTCTTTCTTGTGGGCAGAAGTGAGGATCAACTCGTCCTCTCGCGTCTCTCGCTCACATCCGAATGCGCTCGCGAGCTACTAACATCACGCTTCCCCGGCTGAACCGATACATTCACGAGCGTGCGCTTGTCGTCCGTCATTAAGTACGCATCGGGACGCGAACAGATAATAGCACGGCGTTCAAATTCACACACTGGCCCCTTTCTGACCCGCTAGTTTTGCTTTATCCATTCTACTCCTGCGGAAGTTTGAGGGATTCCTATTGGTCAGACCGTTTGTTGTTGCAAATCTCGACGTCAAGTAAGGGGCGGGAGAATGGGGGTGGGGCATGATGGGTCAGGAATGGTCTCTCTCCAAAAGATTTGGATTACTTCAGAGCAGAAAGTGAGAAAGGCCCATTATTCTGTCGTTTCTCAGACTTAAACAGCATCACATATGATTTGGTGAATACTGGATCACAGAGAGTCAGTGTTTAGCAAGATTCGGTCGTTTCTGTTCAAGAACAACCAACCAGCAACTTTCTTTAACAAAATTGCTCTTTTGCACTGCATTTATTTAAAATAAAAATCTTTTGTTACATTGTTAATGTCTTTACTGCCACTTTCAATCAATTTAATGCATAGGCCTACTTGCTGAATACACAAACTAAAAAAAAAAAAAAAAACGTTTTGACCATAAACTTTTCAACAATTTCCTGGCAGATCTAAAGACTTCTGTAAAGTAATTTTGAACTTGGGGTCAATTGTTTATGAGTTTTAAGTCAACCCTCAAGTCAATCTTTATGCAACTCAAGTGTGAGTTTCCATCCATGCTCATTGAATCTTAACTACATATGGGTTTTCGTGAAGGAATGTAACAAATGTGTTGTGGAAAGTCAGTTTTCTCTTATCAGATGTCACTGCATCTGTAATGGATTTATTTCAAGAGATATATAATTAACATTTCGCCTTTGCTAAAATACAAAGCTGTTACCATGCCAGATTTAATTTGATAAGTTTTCATCATTTAGACAAGATTTTATCAAATAAATTCTTACATTTCACAGCAAATTGAAAATGCATTTTGGGGAATGTCATTTCTTGATCCAGGCAAGGAATGTGTTTGAAAATGATAGTTCCTGGCTCACTGCACCATGTCTAGTCAACTACAATAGAAAAAGAGACATTGGCTAAAAGCAGCAACATCGGCCCTGTTCAGATATAAAATATACCTGTGAGCCCTAAAAAAGGTGGACTCCTTATGTGTAAAATGATAACATGCAAGTTCACACTTGAACATGAAAAGGGGGCATTTGCTGATGCTTAGGACAGAGGATCAGTGGGTCCACCTAGCACAAAGAGCGTATGTGTTTCAAACACTACTCTGGAGTTAGGAATGTACCTTTAGGCCACTGTGCAGCAAGCTTCTGACCCTAAACAATGAACTCAATGTCAGTTACGGATGGTCAGATATTACTTACATTGACATTTTTGCACCAGTTCCAGGTGATGGATATAGGGAACTCTATACTAGGGCTGTCAAAAAAAAAATCGAATTTCGAATATTTGTCGAATTTAAAATAAAAATCCACATTCGAATGCAAAAAGGTTGCATTCGAATTTTAGGTGTGCATTAAGGAGGCAGCCTTATCAGTGGCGCACGAGATGAGATGACGATGTAAGTGTCGTTGCATTATAATGTTTTTGTTAGCCTATCCAGTTGAAGCCACTAGATGTGGCGCTGCTGCGATGTTCATTCAAAATATTGCAGAAAAAGAGAACATAAATGCGGAGAAGATCTTGTTTACATCAAAAGTGAAACCAAGCCGTTCACACAGAACACATATTTCGTGCATTTTCTAGAGGGACATCTATCACCGTTGCACTCGCATCTCGCACAAAGGAGCCACATGTTTAGAAAGCCATGTAAAATTAATGCAAGTTTAACTTTGAAAAAAACATATATCGAGACTTTATGGCGTCCCCCCCCCTTTTCTTTCCTTTTCCTGTTTTCTTTGGCAGGCCGAATTTAAATAATCCAGATGCTTGTGCAAGAGAGAGCTGCATGCCTTTACTTTAAATGGGGATTCATATAAATTAACAACATACAGCTTTAAATGGGGATACATGCCTCAATAATGCATTAATGACAAACACAATGAAGTCACAGCACAAATGACGTCCTTCCATGCTCATTATAAGAAAAATTTCAATTGGTAAACATTATTATCTTGACTTGTTTATGAGATCATTCTTTAGTAAAATATTACACAACAACAAGATGCCATTTTTTAACAGGGCTTTGGAAATTTTGGATGAGTGCTGATGTGTTGATACAGCAAAAGTAAAGCACACAGAATCCCTTATACAGATATGTATATTCCTGTAAGAACGTATAATTATTATTAGTTAAAAGGTTAATTGAAATGAACAGAAAATGCTTTCTTCTTATTCCACGCTCTAAAATATAAGGGTATGTTTATGTTTGTTCTGTTTGTTCTTAATATTTTGTTCTGTAGTCAAATGTTACCAGTTATCATGCAATCATTAAGACAAAGGTAAAAATCACAGATTACGATTAGAATTTTATAGCTGCCGATTTAAAACGTTTTAAACTAAATAACACTTTATATGCATGGCCTTTATTTTTGGCTTTAATCTAAGAATACCTTTCTTACACTTTTTGAGGCCTTAATGAGAAACAGATTCCTTACAATAATCCGTGGGGTGCTGTTGCCAAATTCCTGACCCTGATGGATGACCCTAAACAAAAACTTGCCCGTGCCGTAATTAGAATAAACTCGCATTATTTTTCCCCTTTTTCATTGTATCATGGCAGTAGTGGAGAAGTAATATTCACATAGCAAAACACTGAAATCATACAGCCAGAACATGAACTTCTTTTAAAGAACATAGCTGTCAGTACTACAACATAGCAACATATTTTGAAAAAACTAAAACAAATTGTTGAACATTTTCATCCATTAATTAATCATATAAAGGGGTCATGAACTGAGAAATCAAAATTCCCTGGATCTTTTGACATATAAGAGGTCACTGTACTATAAAAAAACATCCTGTAAGTTTCAGAACTCCAAACTTTCTTGTTAGTCTAAAAACAGCTTATATTGAAGCCAATCTGCCAAAACGACAGGTTGTGGAATGTCACTTTATGACGTAATAGTGTGGCTAAACACAGCCTTCACAGAAGATGATCAACTCCTGCCTCTACATCATTGCCTGTTTAGCCCCGCCCACCAATTTGAGCATATAGTATAAATAACGAGAGAGGCAAACGCAGGACAACGCAGAAACCAAATGATAACGATGGCTCCGAAGACAACAAGATGCTGTACAGTGTCAAATGGCTATCATATATTTTTGAGATTTCTTGCTAAACATGCTGCACAGTTTTTGCGCCCAGAAACTATAAGTAAATACTAAAGTATTACTAATGGAATTTCTTACATATTTTGGAACTATCCTATTTGGATAGGATATCCTCTAAAAACCTGCTTAGATCCTAAATAAACAGAAAAAAAATGAAAATTTCAGTTTATACAGTTAGATCCTAATTGATTTTTAGTGGGTTCTTATAGGATTGGTTCCAAATTATAATCGAAATTATAATAACATTCCTACAGGAAGTTGTGGCAGCACAGCTGCTTTTGGTTTTATTGGGGCTCTAAACACACCAACAACTGTTGTTAGCGGCATGATAGAGATATAGACAGCTGCCCTATACTGTTGTCCAGAACTATTTAGAAATGAGCTGCTGCTGAAGTCAATTAAGAAATAAACTTTAAAATGCAACATAACCAGTACTGGTTTATATTGTTCTTTTTTTTTAAAACACAATCTTTTTAATCTGGACATATCTGTGCTTCACCATTCTTTGTCATGAATAATACAAAGCCAAAACCCAACACTAAGGCATTGAGCTTTTCAGGGAGTATAATCTGTATCTATGTGGAGTGTCCTCTGGAATCCAGACATCAATATCGCAGTCAGGGAGGATGTTGACTAAAAACCTCATTCACTCTCATTCCATTCCAGCACTGCCATCAGCTGCCATCCCATCTTCTGACTGACACCAGATAGGAGGACAGATATCTTGCCAAGTCCTGTTTGAACCCATGGCCATGTCAACTCCCTTGATCAGCGCGCACACACACGCACACAGACAGACCAGCTGTTCCAACACATGGCCTCTTAGCCTTTCCATACTATAAGTGACTATTTATTCAGGCCTAAGGGCCCATCATACCATTGCAAAGAGGGGAAGAATGCCATGTGTGCATATGGGGCCAGCCAATAAAGACATAGCCCCTCACAGACATGACCGTAATCCAACAAACATGGAGTGCAGCATGGAAGAATTTTACTGCATGAGACACAACAAAGCCTGACAGTAAAAACGAGTGGCAACCACAAACATTCTTTATGGGCATTAATGATTTTTAGAAATCAAAGAGCAATGCTAAAGTCACGCAAATGCAGATGTCAGACTTAAAACTTTGGATATGAGGTCAGGTGTACAAATAATTCAGATGAGTAATTTCTTAAAACGTGCACTAAATGATTGGCCCATGTTGTTTCCCACACCCACATGCAATTATGCTCTGCTCTGCTATTCTTTCATAATAGTTAATTCGCCTATTTGTTGATATTTTTGGCAAGATGCATTCATTACACAAATACTTCAAATGCATATTAGTTGAGAGAGTATAAAATATTCACAGCCAAATAAAATATAACCACACCTGTGAAGCTGTGGCTATGGTGGGAAAATGTTCTCTGAATTTCTTAAGCCTGTTTCAAACACCTTGTCATATTGGCCCTGTATTGGTATTTCAAAGAGCCATAGCTTGTAAAACACAAGCTCTCCAAACCTTTAGTAACCTTGCGATGGTAAAGGGTAAGTGTCAAAATTGGCATGCAGGACTCCGCCTCCACAATCACCCTATCCTTTGACCCTCTGCCCCCAGTTGTTGCAAAAAGCCTGGCCTGACCTGTCTGGATATGGAGACGTAAAGAACAATGTAGGCAGGTAATGCAAAACCTTTAGCATGATTCTGCCTTTAGGTACATCATGCGCCTGTGGCCTCTGTGTTATGGGGCCACTTTTTTTTTATAAACGATCACTGTGGGTCTGAACACTGGCCACTGCAAAGCTTAGAATAACTGAATGACACAATGGTTTCTTTTCTAAATAAATAGATGTGGGGAGAATGTTCAAACTCCTAGCCCCCTTTTTCTCACTGTCAGAATTTTTTTCC